ATCTAGAAACGTTGCGTCACAGTAGTCATGTGACTCGATGACGCAACAGTAGGTTTACCTTCCGATAGCTCTTTTAGTTTTACAATCCGGCCTTTCAGTCATGGTTTTAGACCCATTATTCTTGACTTCCTTGCACTATCCGACTTTAGCATTTCTTATTGTGAATGCGTAATTTTGTTGTATACCGTCCATCCTTTGTTCCCAGTGTAAGTACGCTTCTAGAACAATGTCTAGCATTGCAAACTACGCTTATTTTTTCAGCGCTGCCTCATGTTATAATCTCTTCCATCAAATGTAAAACTGTCCTAAGCCTAACTTTAACATTTTATTCAGCCATTATGTATTTAGCTATTTGTATATATTTTCTACAGGTATTGTGCCCTGTAGTGTGGTAAAAAATGTATTATTTTAATTATTCGCCCATTATATCAGGCTTGGTTTATAAAATAATAATACACGCATTCTCTTTCGCTTGACTTCGTTCTTCGGAGTACAGTTTATGAGCAAAGCAAAACGACTAGACTACTAAAATGTTTAGTTCCTCAAAAATTCACGTCAATTTCCATAAAAAAACAATTTTACACCAATTCTGTAATAATCGTCTAAGGCAAGATGTAAGTAAATTAATTTTAATTTAATTTTTATTGTAACAGTGAGAGAGATGCAAAAAAAAAGATATTTATATCGTCCCAGGAAATTCCTGAAAATTAAAAGAAAATTCATTTACCTTACTTATTAACTTAATCTTTATTATCGTTATGATTACCAAAAGACTGTAATGAAACATAAATATTTGATAAACGTTTCAACGGTAAGTATCAGCGGCTGCCAAGAATTATTAATACAATAATTTAAAACTAGCCGTAACCATTACCGGACGTTAACAAACACTGCCAGTTTGTATCAATTCTTAAAATGCTTTCTTGGACACCACTCGTATACTCCGGTTTCGTTATTTTCCTGTATCGCAAAAATGGAAACATGTTTATCAGTAATTCACTATGATAATTGCTGTACTGCTGTATCAATGCCTTATGATAATGATTAACATCATATATAGAAAATAACTTGTACACAAAAATAATAATTTCAGTAGAAACAACGTTATCAATGTTGTTACATAAAAACAAAGAAGTCAACAGTTGTAATTAGAAAATGTAAAAAGAATTTTCTATAATTAAATAAATAGCATTAATACTCAACATTTTAGTACCGATATACTCTAAACGTTGACTAACATGTAGGGTTGATCAAACTCTTTTGTGATTATAAATAGATCATTTGAATATTTTATCATATATTATTGCGAATGCCAAAAAATCCGACTCAGGCGCAAAGTTCTGTCGGTACTAAATGGAATAACAAACGCAGTACAACTTCATTTTGACTGAAACAGGTACCAAGTTTCGTTATTTATTTCTAGGCAACTTTCCAGTCTCCGGTAAAGGAGAGTACCTGTGCTTTTTTAAAGAGAATTTCAACAGTGATCCGATGAAAAGTTTAATTCACAAGTTATCCCCAATCACAGACTTCCTATTCATTATCAATATAAACTATAGATAACCCTTTATATTGGCTAAGTAATGTGAAAATACTTGACAAAGTACTGGCTGAATCACTAAAGAAAGCAAAAAAAAAAAACTTCATTTACATAAGAAATTGTCTCAATCTGTTGTTAGCTTAATATACAGATATAACACTCACCTAAAGCTCCTATGTACAAGATGGCCGAGCGTCTTGAGATGTTATTGGGTTAACAGCCGCAAATAACGTAAATAGCGACTGTATTTAGTTTGTTTGTTTTGTTTGTTTTTAATTATGCACAAAGCTACACAAGGGCTATCTGTGCTCTGCCCACCACGGGTATCGAAACCCGGTTTATAGCGTTGTAAGTCCGCAGACATGCCGCTGTGTCACTGGGGGGCGATTGTATTTAACTAGCAATTCAATGCATTGTAATCAATATAAGCTTTATTTTCTTATACTGATTTATGAAATTTATTATTACTAGTTAATTTGTTATACAAAATTGTCGTCATTGATCTATAAGTTACTTTTCTAAATTATATAAGTCTAACTTATACAGTTAATTTACTTTTAATCAGTTCTAAATAACGCAACTTATAAAAGTAATATTTTCTGTTTTGTTAGCGGTTAAAGGTCCAGTATAGGATAATAATTTCTCGCAAATGAAAAAAAAAATCTTAATTCTTAGTTTTCAATACATACACAGTTTTGTACATGTTTCAGCTCAATCAACAATGGCGAAGCAATCTGGTGTTCTGTATAGAGCTCAAAAACTTTGTAACCATATTTCAATCCAGCTGGAGTTAAACGTAGTCCATGAAAATAATTACAAAATTACAAAAAACAACTTTCGTCTTACTCTTCAAAATGGTAAAGTATTTTTTGAATTTATCACGTTTAAGTATACAGTATGAAACTAGTATTTTTTAATAACAAATAGTAAAACAAGTTATAGTTCACTTTGTTATAAAACAACTATATAACTTTACAAATGTCACACATTTGCTGTTAAAATATCTATATAACTTCACAAAGCTCATACATTTGCTGTTAAATTTTCTCGTGCATGTTTTCTCGTTTTACATGTATTCCCAAACTTACTGCTACATATAGCCAGCTGTTTAATTTTTATTAATCATCATGTTTCTTCATTATTTATTGAAATATTTACAGTTTTACATTTACCTCGCATAATCAATGATGCGTTTAAAACAACAGTTAAAATTATGTACCACGTTCTTATTTGAAGTGAAATATTATCTTCAAACCTTGTTTAGATAGGAGATTCAAGGCCTCATTATTTACGCCGACAAGGCGTATGTGGTCAGCTTTTCTTTTTACCTTTCGTTTCTTAAAAGGTCATCTGAGAAAAGGGAAAATGGGAGCAGCAAAACAAGCTTATTTATCTAAGATGGCGCGGCGTATCCGTTACACTGAGGTCATGTATCACCGAACTAGTTCAGACAGAGGTATGGTTTGGCTAGGAAAGTTAGCCTACTAAATTTGTTTGATGACAAAGGTCGGGCGTGGGCGTCACAAACGTGCAGATACTAACTAGTACAGTGTGGGTAAATGTTTTATTGTACACACACACACACACACACAAACCTGTGTACGTTACATACACGGTAAAGACATTTCTAACAATATTTAGCACAGATGGAACGTGTCTTGTTGGCAGTTGCAATGGTTTCTCCAAAGTTTCTAAAATACGTCATCTGATGGTTATCAAATCTTAACATTGATAAGTGAGTTAATTGTCTGTAAAGCTTAAAAAAAAGACGTACGATAATTAAATATTGTTTATAAATAGTTCTACAGACAAATTATGACATCCAAATCCTGACATTCAGTGGCAATCAACGACATATTTTCCCATTGTCTCGATAAATATAAACAAGGGTATGACTTCTAAAAGCCTCAAATTAATAAATCCACTAAGCTTAAACGGTGTTAGTTAAAGGGATTGATATCATCACGTTTTATTATGAGTAGGTACAGTATCAATGTGTTGTCTGTACATACACTTATATCTATTCGAAACAAAGCTTCCCGTAACTGCTCAGTAGTCGAGTTAATTAACTTACAATATTGTCATCTTGTTTCACCAACTGCATCACTTTGGTAAGCATGACACCAATCCTGATCATCCGCACCAAGTTTATACTGTCCACGTGGTGTTGGAAGGAGGGATGTATATACCGGTGAAGGTGGTACCATGAAACGAAAGTAACACGAACACAGAATCCTACTGTCCCTACCTCTGGGCGACATACTAGGTACCTAACTGTCAAAGGAGACCCACAGAGAACAGAGACAACTGATGAAACATGCTGCGTTTGGAGTTTTATTTATAAGTTATAGACCGCTGTTATGCTTATGATGGAAGACAACATCTGAGAAGTGTTCCCGAGTCGAAGTACTGGATACATTTAGTTTCCCTTCAAATATTAGCTTCGTACTCCACATGGGAGACATTCCAAGTATCGTTACGTTGATTCGGAAACGTTTGATCGTATATATTAACAAAATACTTATTCGGTAAAATTGAAAAAAAAATCATTTTCTTACTATTCAAGTAAATAAACTAAGAGCGGAAGGAAAAGGGAGATTTAGTCCTTGAAAATCAATGCACATAGGTGTCGAAAGTATGTGTTGAAGTCTGATGATACACAGTTTATAGATCGTTCACCTATTTATCAACGAGAATGAATGTTCACACACTAAAGTGAGCCACTCGTATTACGTAACCATATTTAAATAGCGAAAAAACTGAAAATACAGGCATTAAAAAGATAAAATTCGTCATAATATGTGTGCTTGCTTATTTTTACAAAAACATAAATAAAACCCACTAATTTGTACGGTTTTATCAAGAACACAATCTACAGTACATTACATATACTGAACCAAGGATAACGAAATTGTCGAAGTTAAATATTTCAAAATAAATTATTTAGTAAAGGTTATTTTATAGCAGAGGTTCTCAATTTTTTCATCCTGGGTACCATTTTGGAAGATAACCAAAAACCGATAGAAAATAACTACCGTTCTTAAAAGAAGAAGAAGAAAAGCTAAGATGTAACACAGTTCTATACACACAGTTTATTTTTAAATTATTCCATAACTTTAAAACCCAAAGCACGTTCAATACTAAAAGGAAAGACAAGTCGTGGTTTAGTGGTTAACGTGTCTGGAAAGTTGGAGAAGAAAAAAAAACATTCACTCCGTACTTTGGGGCTAAGAATGCCTGTAAGAATGATGGTCAAACTCAAATCCACTATTCGGTCAGACAAAAGTAGACCAAGAGTTGGCGGTGGGGACTGCTGGCTAGCTGCTTTTCCTTTAGTCTGTCAGTTCAAAATTAGAAACGGCAATGCGCAGATAGTCCTTGTGTAGCTTTGCGTGGAAATCTGAAACGAAATAAAAAAGGAGGACGGGTCATTGAAGCAAACAGGACAGCCAAGAGTCTGTGGAGATGAAGCAAATCTCTTTGAATATACTAATAATTACGAATAGCTCTTAAGACACTTCTTTTCAGCTCCTTCGCGACCCTGTTGATTTCTCTCGCGATCCCCTGTGGCATGGTGACCAGCAGTTTTATAACACCTCTCTGTGTTTTATTACACTACAGCTTTTACATCAAACCATTAAAGTCACATGTCACCTAGAATAATATACACGAGTTGGGTACTTTCAATACTAAATACACTTTCCTAATACTTTTATACACACATATACCTGACTGTATTTAGAATTAGATACGCACAAATACACATATATCTATCTCAGTTATTAGTACGTGTATAGCCTAATACCAGGTGAATGCAAATTCCATTCACTACAAAACCTACGTCTCGCTCAGTTGGGTGCGAAGATTTTTTAATGCAGTTAAGTAAATAAACAGTTTATTTCCTTATATTTTAAATAACAAAGACTAAGCAATAAAAATTTGAAATACTAATAAAAATAACCCCTAAATGTCCGAATAACCGCATCATACACATACATTTGCAGACTTCTTCATAGGTCACAATACCAAGTACAAAATTCTACACATTTTGACACTTACAGGAAAAAAATGGACATACATCAAAACGAATATTTAAATACATTTACTCAAAAAGGTGAATGGAGTGTTGTTTATATTTGTCAATGTGTAATCCAATTGACAGTACTTATACTTTGACCTTTGATCCAATTACAGACTTTAGTTGAGTTTTATCAGTAGCTAATTCTTTCTGAATACTCGATAAGTATAAAATTTCAAAAATTAGCAGTTTTGATACTATTATTTTGGCCCACCCCTTACCAGTCAGACAGCTATAATGTCCCCCATAAGCAAAGCATGACTATTGGAGCTTCCTTTCCTATCTCACTTCCGACATTAAACACACCCCCCCCCCTACGATGTCTTACATTTCGTTAGGGTCACGTAATTTGATTACATACAGGTATCTGTACATGGTTGCTGAAAAAAAATTAAAACAGTGAAGTTTAGCTAAATATACCTTTCATTTAGTTTGAACAATTATCAAGTTACAAAAAGCACAAGAAGTAGGAATGGGCAGAGCGATGAACACACCCACTTTGCGGTTGTACTTTGTCAAACAAAACCACAAAGTGTTGTAATGTTATCCTACCCATTCCAACCTTGTTTCCTTACTTTTTGATGCTCCCAATCCCACTTCCTAATTTGTTTACACTTGTTAAAAATAATATCATCTAACACTGACAGGGTTTTATGTATATGGGCTTGGGATTCTTCTACAGTAGGTGTCCGTGATTTGTTGTCGATAAATGTCAACAATAAACAGACAGCAAACAATCCATTTGTTTTAAAATAATATATTCAAAACAAGTCAAACGTATGTACAAAAATTCTTTAAGCTATAGGATATCACAGGCGGGTTCAATTACTTTAGAACACCCTTTGAGAATATAAATTATATCTATTAAACTGTCAAACTCATTTAAAATATCGCCTGTTATGGCTAATCACTCACATACTGGCTAACTTCACGTTTTATAACTTTTTTCTGACTGAACATTTACTTTTTTTGTGCTCACCTGATGGCCTATATTTATACTTTATTCACCGAAGCCTCGAACTTTTTATAAACTGTGCGACGCTATAATGGACAAAACTCACTGAAGGTAAGGAGAAAAATACCGAAGATACCAGTAACGTGACATCAACAATATTACTAAAGCCTAGTACAACAATTAACTGCGTAAGACTCGTACAAAGTTACGTAACAAAACTTGTCATAACTAACGCTTTTAAAACAATTAATTTTAACAGTCTTATTACGAAAACTAAATAGTCATTAAATATTATACCACTAAATGAAAAAAATAATAACTTACATTAAACAGTCTTGTACATCCAACAAACACAATAAAGAAAGTCGATCAGTCTTTATACTTCCGATCAGAGCATGGAGATAATTTCAACTATACACTGTCTGACTGTCGCAATTAAAATAACCCTACAATTATTCCTATGTGTACGGGTGAGGGTCAAAGTGCACAGGCCACGACCTTTTACAGGGTGTCATTCAACATGATATTATGTATTTAATGTCAGAATTGCCAACTATTATTTTTACCCTACACTGTTGATTAAGCGGCAGGTCGTTGTGGAGAAGAGTAAATAACAGATACAATACATAGTGATACAGAAAATAAACTGTAGATATATGCATTTCAGAGGTTCTAGAGATTATGCAAACTGTACGATGGGTATTTTCATTCTTCACATGAACATTACCTTGCACTCGACTTGATTCAGACTGACTTCGTCAATTCATAGGCATATCGCAAGTACAAATACTTTTGTAACACATCCGATTTTCTGTGTTCAACATACTTGTACATTTTATCAAAAGCCTGCCACATTTCGTGTAGGTACACAGTGAATTTAGAATTATAGTCAATATTCCTTCTCCAACACGGGGTCGGTCCGAACCATGTGAAAATTTTGTTATTACATTTTGAAGTACTAACTGTTTGTTGTAGTAACAAAAATCAATAAGTAGAAATGAGTAGATTTTTCTTCTGTATTAAAGTCTAACAATAAATATGATGATGCTATGTTAGCATATACCAGTCTCATTGATGCGTTATATTATAGATCTTTTAAATTTTACGTCGTTCTCTCTCACACACGAAAAAACAAAACAAAAAAACATTTGTTATCACAGAGCGGGTTTTTAATAAAAATTGTATAAAAGATGAGTTGACAAAAAAACTTTCTAACCAAGCCCGCAAATACACTCACTTAAAAACGTGCATATTGCATTCGGGCCAAACAAAGACTTTTAATCGACACTTTAATTGTGAAACTAAGTAAACGACAGAATAATTCCTTCAAATCATTTTATTAAAATCAACATACTTATTCCGAAATGAATGCGAACAAAGACATTTAAGACATATCGAAACAATAATATGAAATTTTCTGATTCACAACTGTTCTTAGTCTTACAGCATCAGCAAAAGAAACACAAAAGAGCGTTGATTTAAATACCTATGACTATAATTACGAGAATGTTTCAGACGACCTACATGTACATTAATGTGTTAATGATGCAAATGTATATTAGTTACTTAAAATTTGACCAAACCATGTGTACACACATGGTTACTAATTCATCAACTGGCGATACATAAAAGATAGCACGATCAGCAGACAAAAGATAGCTTCAGTATAGAGACCCAATAACTCGAGCGCTTTCGGAAAGTGAACTTTCCCCCGATGGAAAGATATGTATAAAATTCAAATGATAATATACTATCATATATTAATCTGAATATGTTCAATTTTAGCAAAAAACAATTTGAATATACATAAAGAGGTTGAGTACGTTAAATTAAAACGATTTTGAAGTCTCACCACGTCGTTACCTTCCATTCCCCCATACTTGGTTATGCATCTTAAACATAGTCCTGGAGAGTAATTTCCATTGTAAAGGGCTTCGTCGTAATGCTGTCATGTCAAAAAAACACCACTCTTCCATGCATACTTCCTATAAGCCAACAAGTATATGAGGACAATGGTTTCCCAGCATCTGTTTCAACAGTCTTCCTATGGAATAGCATGAATACCACTTTCATTCTCCAGCTGCTTGAGGTATGCGACGGTTGAACGGTTATGTTATAGAAGCAAATTGTACACACGTGACTTTGTCGTTTTTCCAAACGGTAATCCATCGTGATTACGTTATGTACTGTTGGCTGGGTCACGAGGACGGCTTTTGTCACTGACCTTTGTATTCGTGTAGTCTAACCTGTTACAAGACGCCGCACTTTGCTTACCACAGGTGGGGTACGTCTTGTTGCAGGTCTCTTTCTGGACGATACTAGTACCCTAAGTTGATCCACATTCCTTTGGTTTCCAATGGCGTTAAGTACAATAAATATCGCACTTGGAAACCCC